CCCTCCCGCCCCCGGCGCCACGCCGTGAGCCAGCTTTCGATTGGCTGCCGGGGCCGTCGCTCTGGATCAGCCCCGCCCCCTCCCCTCGGCCGGCCTTGGGGGTGGGCCGCCCGCCGGCTGATGCAATGACGGGACACGGCGGCCACGTGACGCGGCCCGGCTGAAGCCGGGATCGGAGCCGCCATTTTAGAAGTGTCAGCCCTGCTGCGGGACTAGGATGGGAGGCCTGCTCCGGGGCGGGGCGGGGCGGGGCAGGCGGGATCGAGGGGGGACCGAGGGGGCTGGGACCGTAAGGGCCCTCCAGTCCCTCCTCACTGCCCTTCCTCACTATAGGCACAATGACACTGCAGTACCATGAGGCCTTGGCCCACCTGGCACAGCCCCGCTCCCTGCAGACGGGCCTGAGGCCTCGGCAGCTGATGTGGAGGGAGCAGGGGGCTGTAAAAGGCTCAGGCCAAGAAGGGGATGTGGAGGGGAGGGAGCTGGCTGGGGATGGTGGGTGAGGGAGCTGCTGGAGTGGTGACCAGAGCCCTGTGGGCTTCCCTGCTGGGGGATATAATGGCTGCAAGGCCTTTGATGGGTCTGAGGGGACAAGGTCATGGCTAAGAGATGGGAGGGGGGGTGTTTGCTACATGGCAAACATACTCTGCTCATGCAGTCAGAGACCTGATGGGGTACAGGCATGCAGTCCAAGGCCAAGAGGCACAGCACGTACACAGGGGAGGTGCCGCATTGACAAAAAATTCAGTGTAAGGACAGTAAAGCATTGAAACGGGGGTCCAGGGAGACTGCAGGGTCCCTAGAGGTTTTTGAGGTCTGGTTCAAGCCTTGGGCAGCCTGATCTGAAGTCATTGCTGACCTTGCTCCTCCTGAGGGGGCTTGGAGTAGAGTCCTCCCAGGTCCTCTCCAACCTGAATGGTCCCCAGGTGCCTCCACAGCATTGGGATCTTATAGCTTGGTCTCATCTCTTCCCCAGAGCACCCCTCTGGCCCCAGGCTGTGGTTCCTGAGCCATGACACGTCTGTGCTGCTGTCCTTCTTGGCCTTGGTTGCCATCAGTTCGCCCTTTCCAAAGGTCTCTTGCTGCTAACCTCCCCCAGCTCAGTGCTGGCCTGCAGCCATTCCCACCATTCCTTGTGCTGCAGCCTTCTCTGCTTGTGTCTGTTGTCTCCTTCCCAAGGAGCCTGGAAGGAAAAGAGGAAACTCCAGTCTTGTTGGTTTCTAATGGGAACTCTGTTCTGGATGCTGCTTGCAGATAGCAGCAGGAGTGGGCAAGTCTGTGCAGTGCAATTGCTTGTGCAGGTGATTACACCCTCAATAACGCCTGCTACAGCGGGTCTGAGTCTAACACCATCCAAATTCACACCCAGCACGCTTACCTCTCATAAGGGCCATGGTCTACTCACCAAGATGGAAGGAAACATCACTGCTTCCTCATCTCCATGCTCTGTGTCACCTGAAAGCACATCTTCCAAACTTGGAACGCCTTCACCATCTCTCAGCTGCTGGCCTAAGTATTTCTTTGGTGATTGCCAGACCTGGAACAACTCAAATACTCAGGGAATAGTCAGCTCTGTCCCTTCTGCCAGGCTGAGCGAGGCTGGGCAACAGATGTGTCCCTTTGGGCACATCCAGATGTGATGGACCCATCCCTGCTACTCTCCTCTTACCTTCTCCCCCACCTTAAATTCAGGTTGCCCCAATTCTTCTGTTTGTGCTGAGGCTTTTTACATGGCAGCTCTTGGTTTCTTTCAGCACCTTACTCACTTCTGCCTCTTAAAAATCCATGCCCACAGGCTGGCCTGGACTGCAGGAACCTTGGCTTTGCAGGCATCTCTTGGGCTGATAAGCACCCAGCATTGTCCTCCAGCAAGGAGGAGGGTGGTGGCCATGAGCATGGAGCCCCAGCAGCAGGCAGGTAGAGGTGCAGGGAGCTGGGGGTCTTCTCTGCTGGCTCCTGGGTGCTCTGGGTGAAAGCATTGGTGTGAGTTGGGCCTGCAGTGTTAGAAATGCCCTCTCTGCACTTTCCAGGCTGGGCTTTGGATTAGCATCCCTGGGTTCAGCCACCCCAAACTGGGACATCAGCAGCCACAGCCAGGTTTGGACCTGTTTTCCTTTTCTCGGTGGTGTTTCCAAGTGCTCTTCCAAGCCTGTGGTAGAGGTGACCCTTCTCCTGCGGGACTCTGGGAGCTGGGGCTTTAGAAGAGTGAAAATGCAGGAGACATGCAGCCTCATGTGCTGAAATGATGGGGAGCCCTTGGTCCACCCTGGGACCCTGGCTCTGCCTGGAGCAAGCGAGGGGCCAGGGCTGATGCTGGCACCGTCACTGTCCCCGTGGGCGCCCGGAGCCACACCCTGGGCTGTGCCCAGCTCCTCTTCACGCCGAGCAGGCGGCAGTCCTGCTGTGTGTCACAGCCTGGCGTGGAGGCTGCAGAGATGGCTGCGCTGGCTCGGAGCATCCTAGTGACGGGGTCCAACCGGGGCATTGGGCTGGAGCTCGTGAGGCAGCTCGCCGCCAGCCCCCGGCCCCCCCAGCACATCTTTGCCACCTGCCGTGACCCCAAGGGTCCGAGAGGGAAGGTCAGTGCGGGTGCAGGGCTCAGGGATGATCCAGAGCCAGGCGGGTGAAAGAAATTAGTGGTCCCCACAGCCCTGCCAGCTTGCTGCCGGATCTCGCCCTGGCTGGGTGGTCCGGCAGCAGGGCAGGAGTGCTCTGGTGCGGTCTCATAACCTCCCCAGTCCTGCAGCTATGGCAGTGCCCAACCCAGCCAGGTGGGATGAGGCTGGAGGGGCAGACATGGTGCCCATGTCCTCAGCCCTCACTCCTGGCTATGCTGATGGCTGGTCAACCCATTCTCCATGCTGGAATCACCCAGAACGGGGGGCAGTGCTTGAGCCCAGCAGCACCCTTCTCTTGCTGGCTGCGGGGATGCCGCCCTGCCCCATCTATGGGGAATGGCCCCACACACTTTCCCCAACAAAAGCAAAGGCACCCTGGCCTGGCTGCTGCTGGGGTGACCTGGGAGCAGGGGTGGGAGACCTGGTTGTGCCACTGGTGACTTCTAACCTCCTCCCTTGTTCCATCACTTTATTTCCAGGCCCTGCAAGAATTAGCTGCCCAGCACCCCAGCATCAAACTGGTCCAGCTAGGTATGGAGCAATCTTCCTCGTTGCACCCAACATTGCTTCTAGCCCTCCGCTCGCTTCAGGGACGGGACCGGGGGCAGCTTCGTTGGGCAGCCTCCCTTTACACTGGCAGCCAGGCAGCTCCAGCCCTGCCAGGTGGGGAGGGAGCAGTGCACATCTGGGCAGGCTTCCCCCTCCAAGCAGAGCTGCCCACTGGCTGGAAGCAGTCAAACTGGCTTCAGAGGCAGGCAGAGGTGGGTCTGGACACCTCAGCTGAGCAAGTTTCATGGGAAAGGCATGACCTCTGTTTCCAAAGATGCTAAATACACTGCCTGAGCCTTGGGCTGGGACATGCAGGTTTGCAAAGCGAAGCAAGGCAGGGCAGAGCAAGCAAACATACTGAATGGTTCCTAAGTAGGAGGGTTGGTTTGGAGTCTGCTTGAAGGTGGCCATGATTGGCATTTCCTTCACTGCAGGTAAAAAAGGGAGAAAAGAAATTTTCTAAAAGGATGTATATGGGAAATCTGGCCTCGTGGTGGTGTTGGTATCCCAAGTTGATGCTCAGACCCAGAGGCATGCTGCAGTTCGGGATGTCCGCAGCCTGGACTGGGGAGATGTCCTTTCATCCTTTCCCTGCTCCCATGGAGGTGGGCCAGATTTGGTGGCCTTTGTCAGCAGTGCTGGGGAGCAGCAGGAGAAAGTGGCAAATGGACCTGGACAGCATAGGGACTTGGGGGAGAAAAGGGAGAGCAGCCAGGGCAGCATTTGGTGTTGCCAAAGTTGGGGTATTCGCAGGCAGGAAGATTCCAGGGTGCTGAGCAGGGATGGGGGTTTGCTGGGTGGACAGCATTGGGGTGAAACATGGGGAGATAAGGAGCACCAGGCTGAGGAATGTGGTGTCCTGCAGATGTGTCTTGAGGAGGCAGACTGCGCTCTCTGAGAGAGCAGGGGCTTCTCACAGCCACTTTTTTTTAAGAAGAGTTGGTCAAAAAAACCCATCCAAACCCAAAAGAAGTGTTTTGGGGAAGCATTTGTACCAGAATTGCGATTGCTGTAATGAGTGAAGTTGGAAGCAGCTGGAGTTTCTAAATACTTCTGAGTATTTCCTTAGAGCCAATAATAAGAAAACTGAATCAAGGCAATGCAAAGACCATATCAGTCTCTACCTACCTATTTGCTGTTTGAAAAGTTCAAGTAAATTTTTAGCATTTCTTAGCAAAGAAGGCATTCCTGAGGTCAGGCTTTACCAAAAAGAGGCAGCAAATCGCTCTCTTACTATTAAATAGATTATTAAAGTAGACCACCTTCTCTGTGATAAACAATAGCATCTTTAAAATTACCTGTGAGCCCCAGCTCCTAGTATGTGATAGAAGAGCATGCTTACTTTGCTCACCAAAGCATGGCCAACATAAAAGGGACATCTCAAAGGACTGACCACTAAATAAACAGCCTTTACTAAAATACATACACCCCAAAACCCAGATTATCAATAAAGTCCCAAAATAAGCTAAAAAGGTGGGAAAAATCCAACAGCAATGAAGTATTTTTTTAAAAAAGAGAAGCTGCTTCAGGCTGGCTTTCTCCATCTTCAGGAAAGGTTGGCTTCAAACCAGTAACAGGAATGCACTTTTCAGAAACGAAAGTTATGAATTAACTCCAAAATGCTTAAGACCTGTTGCTTCCTTTCCTTCTCTCCCTCTTTCTTTCTTTCTCATCCTTATCCTCTTACTTCTTCCAAGGAGACAAGAGTTTGTTCCTTCAGCAAATTTGGCTGGCCTAGCACTAGAAACGTGCTGGTTCAACATGCCTGGCCCCTTGGAGCAATGACTCAGCTAGTCCAAACAGAGCAGTTAATCATTCACCAAAGCAACTGAAAGATCCCTTACATGTGGTGGAATGATGGAGCCTTGAACTCCGATCATTATCCAAAGAGAAGTCACTAAAAAGCACCCTGTGATATGTCCTGCAGCTGGCCATGCATGTCCTCTTAAATCCCAAGGCTCCATCCCCTCATGTATGGCAGCTCCACAGCAGATTATCTCATCAAATTTCCCAAAAATGTTTTCATGATACCTCTGCGAAGGTCCATGCTGCACAAGGCAAGGTGGTAACAAGTGCCAGGCCACTCAAATACTTGCTTACCACCATAAAGACACCAGGCGAGTTAAAAACATCAGGAAAAAGGATTGTTCTTCTGCTCATCAGTGTACAAAATACTCCAAGAAGGGAGTCTTCAGCCTTGCAAACCTTTGCTAAGTCAGTCTTGTCTAAGCGTGAGAACAGAAACACAGCTCAGGGGCCAAAGTGTTGCAAAAAAGAAATCTAGCTCTGCGATCCCCCCCACCCATCAGGCTCATCAGATTAGCACCTGCAAAAAATGTGCACAGAAATGTGCGCAGGGAGGAAAGGCACATTCCAACATGCTTATACGCGTCAATATTCATGGTTCTTAAGAGCTCGGTGGTGTACTTGGGATATTGAAAGGCAATATATAAAGTTTAATGTTGGCCTAACCAGCCCATTTCAGATCCTGAAGGTGTTTAGATGACCCCTTTTAAATCAACAATGGCCACTTCAGTGGGGTGAGCACCCAGTAGGGGATGCACATCCTAACAAGCAAACCCAAATGTGGAACACAAACTTAAAAAATACCATTCCTATTGCTTTAGCCAAAAAAAATCCTGCAATTAAAGCGTGGCAGATTTTCCAAAAGATACCAATATTTAAGTGAAGAAAAAGGCACTGGAAATACTTCCCTGTTAGCACAATTTCAATTGTTTCTGGTTGCTTGAGAGGGCTTGTCCCCCCCAGTTTGGCCAGAGCAGCCATGCTGTAGAGATGGGGAAGTTCAGACTCAGAGCATGCAAACAAATACTGCAGGTTATATCCCAAATATTTTATTACTTGTACTCACCTCAGCTCATCTGTCAGCTCCAAATCCTCATTGGTAACAATATGAAGCAAAAAAAATCTGAAAGAAAAAGAAAAGAAAAAAGGAAGGACTTTTGCATACAAATGGCTGCAAAGCTATGGGAAGTTGTGCTGTGGAAGGTGAATTTAAGCACAAATTGTTAAGAAAGGCAAAGATAGCTCTAAATGATCAGTCAGATCAACCAGAAAAGATCTTCGTGTAATTCAACAATAAAATGAATGGGTCCCCCCTATGTTAACAGCCCCCATAGCTGCTGTGCAATACAGAAGGATTTGAGGAGTGTAGTCAGGTTGTTTCCCTCAAGATGGTGTCTATCCTTAAAATGTGCCCATCTAGCTGCATTGTCTCCTGGTGGAAATAAAACTGGGAGCCTCAGTGTGCAAGCACCGAGCATCCCTTGTGCAATCATAAATTCCCTGAATATAAAAAGCAAATACAGCTAAGTTCTTGTTACCAGTAGCTTCCATATGACCAAAAAGGAGCTGAATCAAGGTTTAATTCACCTAAGGCTGTGAAGCCAAGAGGTGAGGACAAACTGCTGCTCGTTTCAATGTGCTTAACACCCTGACCTGCTAAACCTGGTCCTTTCTGGATAATGCTGGTTTAAAGAGAGCCATTCCAGCCACAGCACGCTTTCCAGTGGATGCTGTGTGACCCGCTGGAGCTCTCCTCCACTTTGCTTTTTGCCCTAGCAGACGCAGTGAACTTGCCCAGCATCCGAGGTGCTGTGCGGGCTGTGGGGTCTCATCTGAAGGACCAGGGCTTGAACCTGCTCATCAACAACGCGGGTGTCAGCTCGCATGCCACACTGCGCTCTCTGGATTCGCGGGAGATGCTCTCTGCGTTCGCCACCAATGTGGTCAGGCCAGTTCAGGTTACCAAGGTACATGTGGACCTTTTGGGTTTCTCCTGCCTGGAGAGATGTTCCCCATGGCAAAGGTGACCTCAGCTGGGTGGATTCTCACTCTGTCAAATGAGGCAGACTGATGGGGGCAAGACCAGGACCACGGGGCTCCTCTGCCCACCTAGAGGAGCAGGGAGGCAGCTCAACTCAGCCCCAGCATCTCCCATGCTTCTCTCCTCCCCAGCTGGAGCTCCTGCCCACCCCGGGCTGGCTGTGCCAGCTTGCTCCTTTCCTGGGGAAGGGAAAGGCAGGAGCCTGGCCCCTCCCTGGGGAGTCCTCCCCATCCTCTGCCCTTCTGCTGGGGATGTCTGTCCAGCTGCTCATCCACAGTCTGACAGAGACCTCCAGGGCTGTCCTCAAGCTCGGGGCTTGTCACGTATTAACAGAGCGTCGGTGTCTTTGCGTCAGGAATTTCTGCCACTCCTGGAGAAGGCAGCGAAGGGTGTGGGGAAGGAGGGGCTGAGCTGCAGCAGGGCCGCAGTCATCAACATCTCCACCAAACTGGGCTCCATTGGGCTGTGCCTCAGGGTGCCAGAGGCCCCATGTACCCGTACCGTGCCAGCAAGGTGAGGTGCCAGGTGAGGCGCTGGGGATGCTCTGCTGTGCACCATGCCTGTGGAGGGGGGAGCCCATGGAGGCACTCACCTCCCCCAGGCCACCCACCCCCTGCCTGGTTCTCCCAAGCGTAAGCATGGAGAGCGAGACCAGTAGCACCTGGGACTGAGCCTTTCAGGCAGGATGTGCCGATGCTTTACCCCAGGGCCAAGTCCCATTTCCCGCCTCCACAGCCATTTTCTGGCTGGCAAATGTCCCCCCCTCCTGCCCACCCATGCCCCGAATCATGCTGGCACAGTGGTGCCTCTTCCAGGCTGCCCAGAACATGGTGACGAGGTGCATGGCTGCAGAGCTCCAAGACAAGGGGATCTTGTGCGTGGCCATCCATCCTGGCTGGGTGAAGACTGACATGGGGACGGAGAAGGTACTGGGCTGTTCAGGGGAGGGTCAGCAGGACCCCCACTGTTCCCCCAACTCTTGGGGAGGGCAGGGGCACTTGTGGCAGGGGATGTTGTGTGATGCTGTGGGCTGCCAGTACCATCCTCTGGGGCAGAGCAGGCAGGGAGCAGGCAGCAAGCTGCAACATGCCAAGTGCACGGGATAGCCAGCCCTGTCCGCCACCCCCCCCTCCCCCCGCCCCCCCAGAATGGAGAACAGGGGGGTGGCAGTAAGGAAAAATACTCCCATGAGCACCGTGAGTGCGGCTCCCCAGGCCATGCAGCCTCCGGTCTGCCCAAGCCCGGCTGATTTCCATGCCAGGTCAGCACACAGCAGTGACGCTGTGCCTTGTCCTCTTCTGTAGGCACCCCTGATGGTGGAGCACAGTGTGCAGGGCATCCTGATGGTGCTGGCCAGCCTCTCACAGGACACCTCTGGAGCCTTCCTTGACTGGGAAGGGAACACCCTGCCTTGGTGACAGATGGATGGACAGCGCCTCTTGCCCATGCCACAGCTTCCTGCTCCCCGGCTCACCCCTCTGCATGGTCACCCCGCTCACTCGTCCTCAGCTCACCCTGCGCTGCCAGGAGGAGAGGAAGGGCTTTGGAAGCAGCTTCTCTCCCCTTCCCTGGTCCCCACGCAGCCCTGCAGTCCCCTTGTACCCGCCACCTCTGTAAATGCTGAGAGCTGATGCCTTTCTGCTCTGTCTCTGCACCCCCAGCCTCAACCCCCCTGGCCGAGCCTGGCACACGCTCCCTGCGCACTGCCCAAGCACCATGCGTCCGTCTGTCCTGCCTGCGACCGAGCATCTCCTGAATGAGGGGAGAGGGCAGCTGATCCCTGCGACCCCCAGCCCCTTGAGCCTCTCCAGGCCAGAGCAGCACCTACATGGCCCCAGGGCTGCCCTGACCCCCCAGGGGCAACCTCCCTCCTGGGAGAGGGGCTTTGCCCCGGCTCTGGTGCCTCCCGGAGGGGACGTCTCCAGAGGGTGGTCACGGTGCCACGGGACCCGGGGGCTGGCACTCATGGGGATGCCGGTGACAGCCGTGGGTTGGGTGGGGGGCTGCAGGCACCGCACACCCTGGGATAAGGAGCGGGGCCGCCCCCGCAAGCTGGCAGCACACAGCACAGCCAGTGGCTCTCGGGCAGGGGTTTATTGAGGACGTGGGGCAGGTGGGAGAAGCAGCACAGGGCCCCACTGCGAGGAGTCCAGGCCGGCATCTCACCAGGGCACGACCTTCCCGTGCCAGTCCAGGAAGGTGCCGGTGTCCTTCTCAGCGAGGGAGGAGAGCACGTTCAGCATCCCTCGCACGCTGGCGTCCACTGTCACGGCAGGCTGTGGGGCAGAGGAGGGGAGGCAGCCTGTGCCCAAAGCCTGGCTAAGGGCTGCCCTGGAACAGCTGGGGCCAGGGGAAGGAGACGCTCGAGGGCATGGGGAAAGCCGCCAGCCCGAGGCAGAGGGGCCGAGCGGGGAGGCGAGGGGCTGGGGGCACCAGGCACCCGGGGCCAGGGCAGGAGGAGGTGCCCAGGCAGGGATGGGGCAGGCAGGGAGGTCGTGGTCAGGGGCTCAGGGCAGCAGCTCCCTCCTCTGGAAAATCAGCAGAGGGGCTCTGCTGGACCTGCCGTGGTGAAACTCCTACCGTCTGTCCGATGGAGCCCCCCATGTCGGTTTGCACCCAGCCAGGGTGGAGAGCAGCGCAGAGGATGCCATGCTCCCGGTACCCCAGGGACTGGCACTTGGTCAGCATGTTCAGAGCAGCCTGCGGGGAGACAGGGCAGGGATAGCCGTGGGAGGGGATGGGTGGCTGCAAGGGGACACATGCAGAGGGACAGGGCAGGGGAAGCAAATCTGTCCCCAGCATGGTGTGGTGGTACCTTGCTGCAGCGGTACGAGACAATTTGCATCAGATCCCAACCAGAGGGAGAAGCAATGGAGCCCCCATAGCTGGACATGTTGATGATGGCTGCCTTGCTGCAGCTCAGCGCTGAGCCCGGGCTCCCCTGGGCAGCCTTCTTCAGCAAGGGCAGGAACGCCTGCGAGGAGAAAGAGGAGACAGGGGCACACACACAGGAGGTGGCACAGGGGAGAGGACCAGCTCCTTCCACAATGGCTATGTTGGCACCAGCACTAAAGCATCCTCCCTCCTCTTCGCACTGCCCCAGCCCACCAGGTTCCAGCTCTTGAGCTCCAGCCTGCAGCTCCACAAGCTTCTTGTTGAGTGAGAGCCCATCGGGCATCAGAGCGGAGGCAGGACCCTCTCCCACCAGCTCTTTGTGCCCCCCTGGGACAGTCCAGCTCAGTTGAAGGTCTCACCTGGCCCAGCAGCAGGGGCCCAACTGTGTTGGTGGTGTAAATCCGTGTCATGTTCTCCAGCGTCTCAGCATCAAGTGAGTTCAGCTTGGTGATTCCAGCGTTGTTGATGAGGAGGTTCAGCCCCAAGCCCACCAGGTGGTCCCCAACTCTGGCTGCAGCTGCCTTGATGCTGGCAGGGTCAGTGACTTCTGCAGAGCCGACAAAGGGCAGGTCAGTGCCCGCACCCCTGTGGTGGCTTGGAGGCCCTTACGTCCCCCCAGGGATGTGCCCTCGGGGCTGGCCATGGGCAGGAGGCATGGCAGTGCCCAGTGTCCCTGCAGGCACCAGCCCATTGGCACAGCTCCCTCATGGTGAGGGGCTCCCCAGGTGTGTGCAGCGCCTGGGCACTCTCCAGGGGAACCGGGGTGAGGGACTCCCCACCTCAGGGCACCTACCGAGTGGGATGATGACCAGGTTGGGGTGTTTCGATGCCAAATTCTGTAACTCCTGCGAGAGAGGGGACCATGTGGGCACAGCGAGGGAGGAGAGGCTGCACAGAGGCTCAGCCATTCCCAGGCAAAGCCTGTGTCACTATGGCTCTGTCCCTGCACCACTTCATGCCCAGCACCCTGCTCTGGCTGCCCTGCTCCTGATGGATGGGGCTCCATGCCTCCCACATGCACCACGTGCCACTGTCACCTCTGCACATCCCATGCACAGCTGGTCCCACAGCCGTCCCAGCCCGGCTGCCCTGTGCTGTGGGTGCCCGTCTGTAGCTTGAGCCCTTTGCAAATCCCCTCCCTGCTCTGACCTGCTGCCCTGTCCCTTTGTCGCCCAGCACAACCCACTGCATCCCAGCCCAGCCTCACCTGCGCTCGCTGTCCCTTGGGGTCCCGACAAGCTGCAAAGACCCATGTGGGTGGGCTTGGCATCCCCAGGAACTGCCGCACAAGCCCCAGGCCAATTCCCCGGTTGGCCCCAGTCACCAGAACAGAACAGACCTGAAGCCCTGCCATGCTGCTCCGTCCACTGCTGCACTGCTCTTGCCCTGACTCTGCAGCTGCCTTTTGCTACTCGGTTGTTTCACATTTTCCCACGAGAGCTTGCATCAGCCTGTGGCTCTAGGAAATTCTCTGCCTGTGCCCCAGGCTCTTGGCTGTGGTCCATACCCACGACCCACCCTTCCCAACAGCTGAGGAATGACGCAAAGGGAGCCGAGTGTCCTGCCCAGGCAGGGAATGCCCTGGGCTGGATGTCTGGAGAGCTGCTCTTTGTACCTTCCCTGCTCCACCAAACCTGAGCTGCTCAATTTTCAGGGCCAGTGCTACCCCTGTTCCTCCACCGAGATGCCCCCTCCCACTGCCACCTTCTCTCTTGGGACACCAGGCTCTGTCCCTCCTCTTGCCTGAGGTTAGGCAGGCAAGGGTGGACTTGCTGACCCAGTGCAGTGCAGTTTTTTGGCCTTAATTTGTGCAAAGACAAAGCCAGGGTCACGGATGGAGCAGCCAGGACAGGCAAGTGTCCCTTGGCCACCACAACAGGCTGAAAAACCTAGAAACCCTTCAGGACTGCTTGGAAACCCTCCAGAGCTGCCTGACGCAACCCATTCCTCAGGGTCTGCTCTAACAACAGCTATAGTATTTAAGTTGTAAGTGTGATAGAAGGATAAAATTCAGTTTTGCCCCCCAGGTATAACTGTGATGTGGCTGGGAATCGGGGCTGCACCCTGGCACGCACACAGCACACAACGGACATCCAGTCCCAGAGTGGTCCAGGTACTCCCCAGCTCGTTCCTGCAGTGGCAAGGCACTGGACCAACCCATGGACTGAACTCCCAGCTGCCTTCCAAGGAAAACATCTGATGGGTGGATACAGCTTTGGGACAGGCCTGAAGATCCCCCAGGAGCTCCTGCTGTGCCTAAAGTCAATGGAGAAGCACCACCTGCGTGTCTCCGTGTGCTGATGAACACCCTGCGGGGAGGATCTGGGCATGCCACAGCCTCCCCAGGTGGTTCCTGTTGCAGCGTCGCCTGAACTGTGCAGTTTGTAATAGCAGAAGATATATTTAAGATAGTTAGGAGGTGTTCTGTAGGTAAGATAATTAATAACAACAGATCAGGCAGGTGATGATGCAGGACCGGCTGGGTGGAAGCTTGGGGAGTCTCACCTGCTCCAGCTAGAGATGCTGCTACAAGGACCTTACTGGACAGTAACCAACCATCCTGTTCAAGAGATTTGATCCTCCATGCGTGTGCTACCATATGCAAAGATCCCAATAAATTAGCTTTTTTCTTTAAAAACAAACCCTGCTGTCTCTACTCTTCCGTGTAGCACTAATCCATCTTGTTGTGGCATTTCACCACACTCGCTCCAGCCCACTGATGTAGCCACAGCCTCTGGCATGGGGATGAAGAGATACTGACTGGATCAACCCATGACTTATGTGGCCTGATTTCAGCCCTGACCTGCGCAAGAGAAGGTGTTTGCCATCCCTTCAGCATGTGCCTGAACATTTCCCAGTTTGCTTGCTGGATTTGAGTAGGTGAGTGGCTTTAATGTCTCAGGAGGAGGCAAAGTGTGTGCAAGTCCGTTGTGGAAGGGTGCTTCTTCCCATGGGCGACCACCCAGGGAGACCCTGGGGCTGCTTAGAGCTATTGGAGACAAACCCAAAGGAAACAATGTGGAAACAAGGTAGTGTTTTGGTGATGGTTTGGCATCATGCATGAACCACTGAATAGGAAGCGATAACAGAAAGTTGGCCAAAAAAACCCCCATGTGTGTGCCCAGGAAAAGCCTGGAGGAGAGCAGAGAGCCTGCTGCAGGCTGGGGCTGGGGTTGGGGAAGCGGATGGGGATAGGGCTGGGGATGCAGATGGGAATGGGGCTGGAGATGGGGCTGGGGACGCAGACGGATTTGGGGCTGGGGATGTGGATGGAGTTGGGGCTGGGGATGTGGCTGGGGACGCAGACGGGGATGAGGTTGGGGATGCAGATGGATGGGGATGGGGTTGCGGACGGGGCTGGGGTTGGGGCTGGGGATCAAGTTGGGGATGTGGATGCAGATGGAGGGGGATGAGGTTGGGGACGGGGATGCAGATGGGGATGTGGATGAGGCTGGGGACAGGGATGCAGATAGATGGGGCTGGGGTTGCGGACGGGGATGGGGACAGGGATGTAGACGGATGG